TTTTTTAAAGAAGACTTTTTTCAGGGCCTAGACAAGGCGTGGATTTTTTAAAGAAGACCCTTTTCAGGGCCTAGACAAGGCGTGGATTTTTTAAAGAAGACTTTTTTCAGGGCCTAGACAAGGCGTGGATTTTTAAGAATATTTTTTCAAGGCCTAGATAAGTCGTGGATTTTTTAAAGAATATTTTTTTAAGGTCTAGACAAGGCGTTGATTTTGTAAAGAATATTTGTTTAAGGCCTAGACAAGGCGTGGATTTTTTAAAGAATATTTTTTCAAGGCCTAGATAAGTCGTGGATTTTTTAAAGAATATTTTTTTAAGGCCTAGACAAGGCGTGGATTTTTTAAAGAATATTTTTTTAAGGCCTTGACAAGGCGTGGATTTTTTAAAGAATATTTTTTTAAGGCCTAGACAAGGCGTGGATTTTTTAAAGAAGACTTTTTTCAAGGCCTAGACAAGGCGTGGATTTTTTAAAGAAGACTTTTTTCAAGACCTAGACAAGGCGTGGATTTTTTTAAGAATATTTTTTTAAGGCCTAGACAAGGCGTGGATTTTTTAAAGAAGACTTTTTTCAAGACCTAGACAAGGCGTGGATTTTTTTAAGAATATTTTTTTAAGGCCTAGACAAGGCGTGGATTTTTTAAACAATATTTTTTTAAGGCCTAGACAAGGCGTGGATTTTTTAAAGAAGACTTTTTTCAAGGCCTAGACAAGGCGTGGATTTTTTAAAGAATATTTTTTTAAGGCCTAGACAAGGCGTGGATTTTTTAAAGAATATTTTTTTAAGGCCTAGACAAGGCGTGGATTTTTTAAAGAATATTTTTTTAAGGCCTAGACAAGGCGTGGATTTTTTAAAGAATATTTTTTTAAGGCCTAGACAAGGCGTGGATTTTTTAAAGAATATTTTTTTATGGCCTAGACAAGGCGTGGATTTTTTAAAGAATATTTTTTTAAGGCCTAGACAAGGCGTGGATTTTTTAAAGAATATTTTTTAAGGCCTAGACAAGGCGTGGATTTTTTAAAGAATATTTTTTAAGGCCTAGACAAGGCGTGGATTTTTTAAAGAAGACTTTTTCAAGGCCTAGATAAGGCGTGGATTTTTTAAAGAAGACTTTTTCAAGGCCTAGATAAGGCGTGGATTTTTTAAAGAAGACTTTTTCAAGGCCTAGAAAAAATATTCTTTATTCCAACACAAGGTGTGGATTTTTTAATGAATATTTTTTAAGGCCTAGACAAGGCGTGGATTTTTTAAAGAAGACTTTTTCAAGGCCTAGACAAGGCGTGGATTTTTTAAAGAAGACTTTTTCAAGGCCTAGAAAAAATATTCTTTATTCCAACACAAGATGGGGATTTTTTACACTTTTTTTAGACTTCTTACAACATCGAAGAGCTTATGTTTGACCGGTCTCAGTCCCAAACCCGGTTTTGCTGCATTAACACTAATCTCTTTAAGCCAAAAAGAAAAACAAGTTGGCATTTCACACACAACACAAAAAAGCCGGCTTCGAACGGAGAGAAGTAAATGCTCGCATCCGACCATGCTCGGTGGAAAAGAGTGGAGTCGTAAAGAAGTGGATCTATAAAAAAATGCAACTAACAAACACCAACAACTATGAAAAGAAGACCAGCTGTGTGACCGACCAGCTACCAACCAACCATCGAAACGGTCTTCAGTTGCGGTTTAGAAACGCTTCAAAGAAGAGGTAATTGGAAATCTGTCGGTCGGTCGGTATCGGGTTGTGTGTGTTGAAAGCAAAAAAAACTGAAATAAAGAAAATATTCTCAAGCTTATACAAGTGGCCGATAATGAAACTAAGCAGCTGAGCAAAAAATCGTAAAAACAAAAACAAAGCCAAGCATTTGAATCTAATTGGCCTAGAAAGCCAGCAAAGCGTTGTAAGACCAGCTAAGCGAATTGAAACAATGGTTTTGGCGAAAATGAAATTGTTGTGGTTTTGATTACAATTTTGATGACAATTTGAAAGTGAAATTTTGAAAAGTGAAAAAAATTTAGAGGCCCCTATATTTAGATTTTTTAAATAATATTTTTTGGGACCCATATTTAAGCCGTGTAGATTTTTTAAATACTTTTTTCCAACGCCTATCTAATGCGTAGATTTCTTTAAATAATTTTTTTGGAAAGCCTATCTAAGGCGTAGATTTCTTTAAATAATTTTTTTGGAAAGCCTATCTAAGGCGTAGATTTCTTTAAATAATTTTTTTTGGGTTACTATTCGACCCTGGATTTTTATAGAATATAATTGAAATTTTATAACTTAATTAGGAACACCTTTGCAGATCCATATCATAATAATTATCCGGCATTGTTATGTATATGCTTTACATTTTATTGCCGTTGCCTTGTGTTTTTTTATTACACTAATGTTTCTACTCCTCTTCGTGTTTTATGTACTCTTTTTGCATATCGGCTCAATTTCGAAATTTTGTTTTAGTCTTCTTTTGTTAGCATTTTGGGCTAATTTGCATAATCGATTCATGAATATGGTTATAGTTTGTTGTTTTATTGATCAGATGCTATTAACAATATGTGGAAAAAAACTTCGTACGACAAAGATTAGCATAGGTCAGGTCCAATGCACTGCATGGCCATTGGTATACCCTTCACCACACTGTGGTACAGGGTATTATGTCTTTGTGTATATGTTTGTAACAGGCAAAAATAATCGAGATAGACCCATGGTTCCTTTTGAGAATATGCATAGAATCACATTCTGACGATTTACGCGTCTATAATAAGTTTCATGAAAATCGGTTCAGATTTAGACATAGCTCTCATATATATTTTCGTCCGATTTAACGTAAATAGTCCACTAAAGTCCCTATATATCTTCCGATTTGCACGAAATTTAGCATAGCGTACTGAATTAAGTATAGAATGACGTGTGCAAAGTTTCGTGAAAATCGGTTCAGATTTAGATATAGCTTCCATAAATACATTCAACCGATTTTAGGTAAATAGTCCACTAAAGTCCCTATATCTATTTCGATTTGCACGAAATTTGGCATAGCGTACTGAATTAAGCCTAGAAAGACGTGTGTTAAGTTTCGTGAAAATCGGTTCAGATTTAGAAATAGCTCCCATATATATCTTCGTCCGATTTAAGTTAAATGGTGCACAAAAGTCCCTATATATCGTTCGATTTGCACGAAATTTGGCATAGCGTACTGAATTAAATCGAGAATGATGTGTGCAAAGTTTCGTGAAAATCGGTTCAGATTTATATATAGCTCCCATATATATTTTCGTCCGATTTAAGGTAAATGGTGTACCAAAGTCCCTATATATCTTTCGATTTGCACAAAATTTGGCATAACGTACTGAATTAAGTCTAGAATGACGTGTGCTAAGTTTCATGAAAATCGTTTCAGATTTAGATATAGCTTCCATATATATCTTCGTCCGATTTTATGTAAATGGTGCACAAAAGTCCCTATATATCGTTCGATTTGTACGAAATTTGGCATAGCGTACTGAGTTAAGCCTAGAAAGACGTGTGTTAAGTTTCGTGAAAATCGGTTCAGATTTAGATATAGCTTCCATATATATCTTCGTCCGATTTAAGGTAAATGGTGCACCAATGTCTCTATATATCTTTCGATTTACACGAAATTTAGCATAGCGTACTGAATTAAGTCTAGAATGATGTGTGTTAAGTTTCATGAAAATCGGTTCAGATTTAGATATAGCTCCCATATATAGTTTCGACCGATTTAAGGTAAATAGTTCACCGAAGTCCCTAAATATCTTTCGTTTTGCACGAAATTTGTCAGAGCATAATGAATTAGGTCTAGAATGATGTGTGTTAAGTTTTGTGAAAATCGGTTCAGATTTAGATATAGCTCCCATATATCGTTTCCCCCGATTTTAGGTAAATAGCCCAGTAATGTCCCTATATATCTTTCGATTTGCACGAAATTTGGCACAACGTAATTAATAAGGTCTAGAATGATGTGTGTTCAGTTTCATGAAAATCGGTTCAGATTTAGATATAGCTCCCATATATAGTTTCCCCCGATTTTAGGTAAATAGTCCACTAAAGTCCCTATATATCTTTCGATTTCCACGAGATTTGGCATAGCGTACTGAATTAAGTCTAGAATGATGTGTGCAAAGTTTTATGAAAATCGGCTCAGATTTAGATATAGCTCCCATTTATATTTTCAACCGATTGTAGGTATTTGGACCCTATATACCTTTTGATTTGCACGAAATATGGCATAGCGTACTAAATTAGTCACTGGCAAGTTTCCCTGAAATCGGTTCTGATATAGATATATAACAAAAACGCGACGTCTATTATGATACATAAGTAGAATATACCCAAAGTGGTGAAGGGTATCATAAAGTCGGCCCCGTCCGACTTTCCTACTTTCTTTACTTTGTTTGTGTATATATGGTACAGTGGAGCCAAAAAATAAAGACGGAGTTAGAAGATTTTCAGGACATTTCTAGTCGATATTATCGACTTACCCGCAACAACATAGAATTATTGAAGACGAGGGTCTTAAATATAGGCCACTCTGATCTTCATTAAAATTTACAAGTTCCTTAAACCGGCCCATTTTTTATGAACATTTTTTTTTCTAGTAACCCAACCGTTTTTGCCACCACCATCAACTAATATTTTTTTATTACACCTTAACTACTAATATTCCACTTTGTTTGAAATACATTTTATTGGTCATAACTTAAAAGTGGGGTCCCGCACCGAACGGCATTCAAAATAAAAAAAATATATAAATGCGGCACCACAAAAAACCAACCAAAACTTGTTAAAAGTTATTAACCATGGCGATTATGTTAGACAGAGCATTTAAACCAAAAAAATAATAATAACTAATTAAAATGGGCAAGCAGTATGTTATTTTCTCAGGCGGTCAAATTTGAAATGAACTTATAAACAGCTGGACAGACACACACACACACACACACAAAATACACTCGGTGAGATTGCAAAGATATTTAACCTGACACATAAACATGTCTTGCATTCAAGAGATACGATTATCATCAACGTTACAAAGTCTAAAATCATTAACAACTTGGATCATTAAATGGTCGATGGAGAGGTTATGCGGATTATTTAAAAAAATAATTTAAACTAACATGATTTTCATTTTCTAAAAAAATATTAAAAGAAGACCCTCCAAAAAATTATTTAAAAAATTTACACCTTAGATAGGCCTCCCCAAAAATTATTTAAAAAATCTACGCCTTTCGAAAATCCCCTATAATATTTTTTAATTCACTTTTTTTAATTTCTCTTTTCAGATTTAAGACCATGAGACTCCTTCTAAGTCCCCTCCTGTTTTTATGCATTACCTACCTCTTTTCCCCCACCCCTTGCCTTGCATCCTCCATAGCCGAAAATGAAGCAGAGGTAGCGAAATTTCTCGATGAAGTCAATCACCGTTTGGCTGTACTCTACAACCAAGAGGTCCTTGCCAATTGGCAGAATGAAATCCAAGGACCCAACAACCTCATTGCCCTCCTGCAATCGGAAATTGCCACTAAGGAAATCATGCGTTACATTCAAAGCATAGCAGTGAAGGTGAAAAAATTTAAACGCCTCACTTTGGAAAATGAGGATTTGCGAAGGCAGCTTTCCCTGATACCCGAAGTGGGTTATGAAGTTCTACCGCCAGAGGATTTGGAACTGCTCTATGCCGTCACCGCAAATATGAGTGAAATTTATCGGCATTCGAAGTTATGTTCCTATGTGCAGCGAGAGAAATGTGATCTCATGTTAGTACCAGATGTCCAGCAAATTCTGCATAGCACTGAGAGTGTTGAGGAAATCGAGTACTACTGGCTGGAATGGAGAAGGAAGACGGGTCTAGCTGCCCGTGAGGATTTTCATAAATTTGTGGACTTATATCGGAAGACGGCAAATTTGAATGGTAATTTGTGGGATAGGGGGAAATTTAAATTTTCTGAAATTTATTTCAATATATTTTCAGGTTTTACAAGGCCCTCCGATTTTTGGTACAAGGACTTAGAGGAGAATAGCCAGACTATGTCCACGGTTTTGGAAAAATTCATGAAGGATTTGAAGCCCTTCTTCGAACAATTCCATGCCTATATTCGTGGCCAATTGAGAAAGAAATATGGTCCCCAACTGATACAACCCCACAGACCCTATCCCCAACACCTGGCCGAGATATTTATTGGCAATGCCTTCCGTTATGGAGATACCTCGGGGCATATGCATTTACCCTTCGATCAGATGGCCATGCCGAATATTACGGAAAATCTACTAAGGAGAGGATTGACCAATACCCAGGTGAACTTTTGGAATGCCAAAGAATTTTTCCGATCATTGGGTATGCCACAGCTGGAAGAGTGAGTACCGACAGATTTGAAACTCCTCAATCGTATCTAAAATTTTCGATTATTTTCGTTTAGCAAATTTTGGTCGGAAAGCTGTCAAGCCAAGGCGGATTTGGAGGATGACCATTGCTGGCACAAGGCCTGGAAATTCTATGGCCTATATCAGGTGAATTTTTCCTATTGCCCTTTGACAACGGAGGAGACATTTTTCAATATGTTCGAGGCTCTATCGGATGTGTATTATTATAAGGCCTATGAGAATTTGGTCACACTGTATCAGGAGGAACCTCTGCCCAATTTCAGTGATACTTTGGGGAAATTTTTCTCGCTGGCTGCTTCGTCGCCGAAATACCTAAAGAAACTGAAGGTTGTGGGTGAGGAATATTCCAACAAGGAGGCCAGGATTAATCGTTTATATATACAGGTAAATAACGAAAAAACATTATTTAAAAAATCCACGCCTTATATAGGCCTTGGAAAAAATTATTTAAAAAAATTCACGCCTTATATAGGCCTTGGAAAAAATTATTTAAAAAAAATCACGCCTTATATAGGCCTTGGAAAAAATTATTTAAAAAATCCACGCCTAATATAGGCCTCCCAAAAAATTATTAAAAAATCTATTTAAAAAAAAAAATAAAAATTCGCCCTTCTTTTTCTCCCAGGGTCTTCGCACCATCTTCCTGCTACCGGTCTTCTATATCTTGGAACGTTATCGCTTGGATGTCCTGGACAAATCGATGAACATAAACGACAATTGTGCCTATTGGCGTCTAACAGAAGACTACACGGGAGCTGAACCACCCGTAGTTCGTACCAATGAAGATTTTGATGCTCCGGCCAAGCTGCTCATGGAGGTTGATGACCAATATACCACACAAATATTAAGCACGGTACTGCAATATCAGCTACTGGAACACTTCTGCACCCTGACAAATCAATATAAGCCGGGAGATCCCCAGAAATCATTGGATTTATGTGATTTGACGGGTCAAAGGATTGTGGGAGAGAAAATCAGGTAATTTTTAGGATTTTTTTTTTATAAAAAAAAATAATAAAAAAAATATTTTTTATTTTTTCTAGGCAAGCCATGGCCCTGGGTTCTTCGGTACCATTTAAGCAGGTTTTGAAAACCATTTTGGGTACGGATCAATTAAATATCAATGGCCTGTTGGAGTACTATCGTCCATTGTACGATTGGCTGGTGGAACAGAATCGCATGGAAAATAATGAAGTTGGATGGCAGAAGTCGGAAAGTGAGTATTTTTTGTTGTAGTTGTTGTTTTTTTAATTAAATTTTCTTATTTTTTGTTTATTTTTCTTTCCAGAATGCCAACCCTAATATCCACATTAGCAAAGCTTTTGCTTAGCATTTTGTAAATTATAAAATATGTAGCATACTTTTAGGCTGACAAATGGGTATTAGCAAACACAGGGTGTTTCAGTTATTAAAAATGTAGATAAATATTATTTTTGTTGTTTTTGTAGTTGTAGTATAATGTAGGTGATAATAAAAATAAATAAAACATTAAGAAATAATAATTAAATGACTTAATTTTATAAAAAATCCACGCCTTATGTGTATGGACCTTAAAAAATAATTTTTAAACCAGTAAGGAAAGAAGTAAAGTCGGACTGGGCCGACCATATGATACCCTTCACCACTTTGGGTATATTCTACATATGTATCCTAACAAACGTCGCGTGTTTGTTATATATCTATATCTGAACCGATTTCAGGCAAACTTGCCAGAGACTAATTTATATTACTTCGTTTCACGAAGCTTAGCACCATCATTCTAGACTTAATTCAGTACTCTATACCAAAATTCGTGCAAATCGAAAGATATATAGGGACTTCGGTGAACCAATTACATAAAATCGAACGAAAATATATGTGGGAGCTACATCTAAATCTGAACCGATTTTAAACTTAGCACTCATCATTTTAGACTCAATTCAGTACGCTATGCCAAATTTCGTGCAAATCGAAAGATATATAGGGACTTTGGTCCACCATTTACATTAAATCGGACGAAAATATATATGGGAGCTATATCTAAATCTGAACCGATGTTTACGAAACTTAGCAGTCATCATTTTAGACTCAATTCAATGCGCTTTACCAAATTTCGTGCAAATCGAATGATATTTAGGGACTTTGGCGCACCATTTACATTAAATCGGACGAAAATATATATAGAAGCTATATCTAAATATCAACCGATTTTAACGAAATTAAACACACATCGTTCTAGACTTAATTCAGTACGCTCTGCCAAATTTCGTGGAAATCGAATGATATGTAGGGACTTTGGTGCACTATTTACCTAAAATCGAGCGAAACTATATATGGGAGCTATATCTAAATTTGAACCGATTTTCGAACGAAAATATATATGGGTGCTATATATAAATCTAAACCGATTTTCACGAAACTTAACACACATCATTCTAGACCAGTGTTGCCGAATGTGGGCATAAAATTTGTGAAATTTATGTCTTGGGCGGATTTTGGGCATTTTTTGCTTCGGTCATATCAATATTGTTTATATTTGTTTTAATAAATATTGATATTTGTTTAGCCTAAAAAATATGTTGTGATGTATATTATAGGCCCACGTGTTTGTAAAACCGCGAAATATTACCCCTAGACCCACCTTGTAGTAAACCTATTCGTAATCTCAACAAGCTAAGTAAATCCATTATAAGTTGTAGTTATGGACCAATCATGTAGTTTTGCATGTATAGGTTAGGATAATGATCAGTTAATATTTGGAGGATAAAATGGATCAAAAACATTATTTTTGTCCATTTTTCTGGTCGGTGTAGAGATCACTATTATGACTCAAACAATACTAAATTTTACACGGGGAAGAGGATCTACAAAGGAAAACCAGTAAGGAAAGTTGTAAAGTCGGACGGGGCCGACTATATGATACCCTTCACCACTTTGAGTATATTCAACAGATGAATCCTAACAGAAGTCGCATTTTTAAAGGACCAGTAAAATGAAATTGGAACCATAAACACGTCATTCTGCAACCGATACTAAATTGTTCATTTGGTCAGATATAGAAGCTATATCTAAATCTGAACCGATTTCAGGAAACTTAACACACATCATTCTAGACCTAATTTGTTACGCTGTGCCAAATTTCGTGCAAATCGAAAGATATATGGGGACTTTGGTGCACCATTTACATTAAATCTGACGAAAGTATATGTGGGAGCTATATATAAATCTGAACCGATTTTCAGGAAATTTTACACACATCATTCTAGACCTAATTTGCTACGCTGTGCCAAATTTCGTGCTTAAATCGACTCAAAAAGTGATTCTATGCATATTCTCAAAAGGAACCATGGGTCTATCTCGATTATTTTTGCATGTTACAAACATATGCACAAAAACATAATACCCTGTACCAGAAAAAAGAATTTGGTTCAAGAACCTCAAAACCTGGGGGCTACCAGAAATTGACCAATATTTATAATGTATAGTGGAGAGATGTGGTACCTAATAAGAACTCGACGTACTAAATTACAGTCAATTTGGTCGAAAAATCCGATCAGAACCCCCAAAATACCAAAAATTTTGGGGTACCGTTATATGGGAACTACCAGAAAAACTGGACCTATATTTATAATTTTTAGTGGAGTAATTTGGTACCCAATAAGAACCCAATGTACAAAATTTCAGCGAATTCAGTTATAAAACGAGCCCAAAAACCCGAAAATACCGAAAATTGGGAGTGCCCTTATATGGGGGCTATCCGAAAAAATTGACCTTTATTTATAATTTTTGGTAGGGAGATTTGCTACCCAATAAGAACTCAAAAAACAAAATTTCAGCGAATTCAGTTAAAAAACGCGCTCAAGAACCTCAAAATACCGAAAATTTGGGGGTACCCTTATATGGGGGCTATGCGAAAAAATGGACCGTTATTTATAATTTTTGGTTGGGAGATTTGCTACCCAATAAGAACACAAAGTACCAAATTTCAGCGAATTCGGTGGGAAAATGCGATCAAAACCCCCAAAATACCGAAAATTGGGGGTAATCTTATATGGGGGCTATCCGAAAAAATGGACCTTTATTTATAATTTCTGGTAGAGAGATTTGCTACCCAATAAGAATTCAAAGTACCAAATTTCAGCGAATCCAGTTAAAAAACGCGCTCAAGAACCTCAAAATACCGAAAATTTTGGGGTACCCTTATATGGGAGCTATGCCTAAACGTGGACCGATTTTCTCCAATTTCAATAGGGTTCGTCCTTGGGCCAAACAAATGAGCTGTGCCAAATTTCATCCAATTCGGATCATAAATGCGACCTGTACTTTGTTTATAATTTTACATCTACAGACGGACAGACGGACGGACATGCATAAATCGACACAGAAAGTGATTCTATGTATATTCTCTAAAGGAACCATGGGTCTATCTCGATTATTTTTGCCTGTTACAAACATATGCACAAAGACATAATACCCTGTACCACAGTGGGGTGAAGGGTATAAAAATCAATCATTTTGCCTGTTACAAACATATGCACAAATACATAATACCCTGTACCACAGTGGGGTGAAGGGTATACAAAGGGGGTTATATGGGTACTACCCCAAAAAGGGGGCGGATATTATTAATTTTTGGTAGGGAGATTTGTTACCATATATGACTACAAAATACCGAATTGCAACGCATTCGGTAGAACACCAAAATACTGAAAAATGGGGATACCCTTATATGGGGGCTATCTAAAAAAATTGACCTATATTCATAATTTTTTGTGGAGAGATTTGATACCTATTAAAAACTCAAAATACCAAAAATCAGCCAATTCGGTGAAAAAATACGATCTAAACCCCCACAATAGTGAAAATTAGGAGGCACCGTTATATGGGGGCTACCAGAAAAAGTGGACCTATATTTATAATTTTTGTGGAGACATTTAGTACCCAATAATAACTCAATGTACCAAATTTCAGCGTATTCGGTTGAAAAACGCGCCCAAGAACCCCAATATACCGAAAATTGGATGGTACTGTTATATGGGAGCTATGCCTAAACGTGGACCGATATATCCCATCTTCGAACTTGACCTGCCTGCAGACAAAAGACAACCCTATGCAAAATTTCAGCACCCTATCTCAGTTCCTTCAGAAGATAACGTGATTACAACAGAGGGACGGACGGACATGGACATGGAAATGAATATTTTGATGAGTTACAAACGGAATGACAAAACTAATATACCCTCCATACTATGTTGGAGGGTATTAAAATATATATTTTTAAGGGTTAACACCAAGGCGTGATTTTTTTAAAGACCAACATAAGGCGTGGATTTTTTAAAGACCCACACAAGACGTGGATTTTTTAAAGACCCACACAAGACGTGGATTTTTTAAACATTAACACAATTTTTTTAAATTTTTTTAAGGGGTACCGTAAGGCGTGGAATTTTTTAAAAATTATTTTTAAGGGCTACCATATGCGTGGATTTTTCTAAAAATTACTATAAGGGCTACCACGCCTTTTGGTAGCCCTTAAAAATAATTTAAAAAAAAAATCCACCACATATGAGCGACCATTGAGTATAATTTTTAAAAAATTCTCTCCTCTCCATTTTCCTTAAACAATTTGTGGTCATGATTCATAAATGTTTTTTAAAATCTAATTAAGGGGTTAACAATAATAATTAGCAGTTCAATGAATAACATCAAGTTGCAGTACAGATCATGAGACCTTTTGTTCCGAACAATATTCCTGTGTGAAAAAATAATTTATCATTTTGAAAAAAATCAGATTATAAATGACTGCAACATACTCGTAGACTTGTACAAATCTATTGATAATGATCAACAATATATTTTTTTTCAACTACCTTCTACACAAGACTTAAATGAACTCATTTAAAAAAAATGTGTCATAACCTAACAAATGAAATAAAAAAATTAAATTTTATTTCAAATCATTATTAAGTTCACCTTAATGATAATTACAAAAATAATCATTATCATCTTTATAGCAACAAAATATTCTCACAGTCGAAAGATTTCTATAATTTTTTGCATTCATGTGATCGTTTCGAATATTTTTTTCTGAATTTGAATTAAACCCTTCGTCGCACTTAACTATGCAAAAATTCCAATTTAGAAAAACAAAATGCAACCCCTGCCTCTATCATTAAATATTCCATATGTCTATGTTTATATGATAATGCACTTTGTTGTTGTTGTCGTTAATTTTTTTCATTGCACTTCATTTTGATTTCTAATGAAATCACTTGCACTTATGTGCTCGTTTAGTAATTTATTTGCCATACAACAAAAAAATA